CCCCCCTATAATTACGGTCCCTATAATTACGATTCCTATAAAACTACGAAAAAATATACGTATTTTGGAAATGTTGAGTCGGATTAGTGTAGAATCGATTAATTTTATGGAAGAAAACCTTTCAATCAGCCGTAATCCGTAAACTTGACACGTTCGGGCTGTGATTGGAACGACTTGTAAGAAATCGGATTCCTAATAAATTGGAACGTATCTATATCTTATAGGGGGATCGACTGTATAACTTATAATTGGCCGATTTCTATCTGTATATAAAAATTTTACTTAATTATAAAGTATTTTCCTTTCAATATTAAATTAACTAGTATTTAAATACCAATATGGTCAGTTTATATTTTAAGAACTCGTTAATTTACTCTTAACACAGACATCATTCTGATATTTTCATAGATTTCTATTGTCATTATTTTCTGACTTAATATAGCTATATATTTTATATTTAGAATTATCATATAAATTCAAATTACTTTAAACAAATAATTTTAAACTATGCAAGGCGTAATCATTTTTATCAATTATGTTTCTATATTAAATTGAAATTTTATAATTTCAGCTTTCAATGTAAACTTCGATTAATTTTATTAAGTTATTTATTTCTTAACTAATTATGCATGTTCAAGTTTTTCTAATACCTTTAACAATTTATTAATCTTAACTTCACATAAGATGACATCTAATATCTGTTCTAGGAATAAGTAAATTAATTATCCCCGATATATACTTTTCGAAAAGTTTAAAACTTCACCTTCTTTCCGGCACGTAATTTTACAACTTTTGTCTTACACCGAAATTTCGTTTAAATCTGTTGTGTCTTAATTTGCAAAACGTATTTCAGTGATTCGTCAATTTGATTCCATGTCAAGGAAATTGCAGGCTTTCCTCGTTGCAGTCTTGTAAAATACAATTATATGTATTTTAAATTATAGGTCTTCTGGAAACCATAAGTGATACCACTGGATTTACATAACAATAGTCAAAAGAATCTACAATCTTTACAACTGAGTTTTATAGCAAAGGTTTGAATTACCGTATTAATAGAGAATTGTTATTTGAAAATGTTATTTTTTGATTGATTTGTTTTGAAATCTTATATAAACGAAAGTATGAAACAAAAACTAATAACTGGGATAGAGAAGAGATTGATAGACAGGTAAACTATTGCTAAAATCCGGATTTATCGAACCATTGTCATTCCCGTACACTATCCAATCTAGGGTTTCTCATTTCCCGGTCTTTTGCATCTCCCGGGATTCCAGGATGAAAGTGAACTGTTTCCAGGGATCCCAGAAAAATCTCGGAACAGAATTAATTTATTTTTAAGATATACAAAATATCATGAAATCAAATGATATAATTCTTTCTTATTCTTAAAGTAATTTAATACGTTCTGCAACCTCCAAAATTATATTA